GCCACAATTGCCATTTGGATCGCCAACCTTCGGCAGGAGAGGGCGTGATAAGAAGAAGAATAAAAGCTTTATAATTCGGAAATGGTTGAATTTAGGTACATTATGTGTATTACGATTATTGCTTAGAATCGAAGTAAGAATTGAAATATGCAATAATATACCGGGTGGTATTATCTAAAAAAATAAATTTTGATGTGCCACAACTTTATGACCTACCTTGTATACTTAAATTTACTACTAGCTACTAGACATTTAAAAACCCTATAACTTTTGTATTTAACTTTTTGCGGTACCATTTTACCTAATAATCGACCGTTCCCATACATATCAACGACCCTGTATAGGAATTCATAAGGCATTCATTTCATCTGTTTTGTTTTCAATAAAGATATAAGAAAATATTTGTAAAATATCTCTCAAAAAATTGTTTCACATTTATTGTACTCCAATCTAAAGTCAAATAATCTTTCTGTAGTATCATCTCATCTTCAACGAGATTATCGAATGTGAGAGGCAGTAAATACCTACTTCTATTAATGACCATCTCCCTGTATAAATATAGATAAACATGTGGCCGGTGAGAGGCACCTATTAAAATATAATGAAGGATCTGTTCTTAGAATGGGAAAAATCTGAGATAAATTGCCGCATATACGATTATGAACTTTAGATGGTTATTAAGTTTGGGCACAGCCCCGATTCGTGATTTACAGTTTTTTTCTGGTACTCTACGGTATATTAATCATCATTTCTATGCATATACTTAACTTAATATATATCAGTAAACGGTGTTGTAGAAAATTAGATAAATTATTTATGAGAGGAAGCGAAGGAAATGTCTAGGGCCTAAGAACCTTGAAGATCTTTCATTTAGAATAAATGCATATAGAATTCTTTTAATTCGACTTCTTCTGATTCAGATTTTATGTTAAAAAATTCTTGTATTATAACGTATTATAATTGGAAGAAATATAAAAATTATCCCCTCGCCCAGCAAAAGATAGAAGGTAATGAAAAAGCAAACGATCTACTTAGAAAGCGCCGAGAGCTAATTACTCCGAACCAATGGGTACTTACCCTAGTATCCTACAGGCAGAAATCTACGCTATCGAGAGATGCGTACAACTTATCTTAGATAGGAACTATCGGAAACAAGAAATAGCCATTTTATGTGATAGTCAAGCAGCGTTAAAGGCGTTCAACTCAGTATCAATCAATTCGAAATTGGTCAAAGAATGCATAGAGAAGCTGAATAAATTAGGCAAAGAAAACAAATTCCTCCTACACTGGGTGCCTGCTCACCAAGGGATAGAAGGCAATGAAAAAGCAAATAATCTAGCTAGGAAAGGAGCGAACACTCCACTAACTGGACCAGAACCGTTCTGCTTTCCAAGTGGTAACCAACTCAAGGCGGAACTCAAGAACTTGGAAGATTCCATCCGCAACCTGGAATGGAAATCTTGCAATGGTCTAAGACACTCGAAGAAGTTTCTGAGGGCTTATGATCAAGAAAAATCACAGATCTTCCTGGGTCTGAGTAAGAACAATCTTCGGATTGTCACGGGGTTTTTAACAGGACACTGTCTCCTCAATGAACACCTCAGTAGATTGAAACTAAGAAGAAACGGCGAATGCAGATTCTGTGGGGAAGATGGGGAAACACCAGTACACCTCATCACTGAGTGCGCCGAGACGACAACCATTCGTGCCATGAATTTTGGTACGACTGATATTGGAGATGGAGAACTACCCTCTATAAAACCGTCCCAGAAACTCGCTTTTGTCAAAGCCCTGGGACTGTATGATGAGTTATGATTCAAGAAAGGGGGACACAATGGATCTGTAAGGTCGAAGTGATTAACCCCCCTCCCACTCATTCTAAATTCTAAAAATTCTACTTAGAAAAGGAGCGAACACTTTAACTAACTGAACCAGAACTGTTCTGCTTGTCAATTGAAAACAAACTTACCACCGAGAAAAATAAAAGATTTTCCTTGATTTAAGTTAGAACAATCCTCAGATTGTCAAATAAACACTTCAGTAGTTTCGCTCAAGTTACAGAAAAACGACGAATGGAAATTCTGTGGGAAACATAGGAAACCATCAGAACAACTTAGTGTACCGAGACGACAACCATTCGTGCCATAGACATTGATTCGACTGACATCGGAGATGGCAAACTAAACTCTGCCAAAAATGTCAATCAAATAATGCCGTTTGTCAAAGACCAGACGCTATATGATGAGTTATAACTCCAGAATGAATCAAGAAATCAAATAATATAAAATAAATTATCTATATTTAATTCTTTCCTCCAATTTAAATAATAAAATACTTACACTGCCCGGCATGAGAAACAGACCCATTAAAATTTTCATGTATTTTAAAGTTGCGGGTAAATACCGGGTGCGTCTTAAAAGTGGCTCACCCCTATAACTTTTTATTTTTTTAGATGAAAAAACGAAATTTGGTTCGTTAGTATCTTAAATTTCAACCTAGAGTGCCATGGGTCTGTCAAAAACACTAATTTTTAATCAAGGAGCCTTGCAAAAATAGATTTGATCGTCTAATGTTTTTCGTGTCTTGTCCAGGCAGGCTAAAAGATATCCAAATTAGTGATGATGCTTTGGAACAGGATCTGTTATTTTCGAAACAAGATTGTTTTGGAACTGGCTTGGAACAGGTTCATGTGCTATCCTGTACCAGTTCCAGTTCCAACTGTTCCAGCTGTTTCAAAAAACCCTGCGACACAAATTAGCATAGACAAATAAATATAAAGACGACTGGAACTGGAACTGTTTTATTCATGTGAAACAGTTTGGGACTTGGAACTGTTTGGGGCTTGGAACAGTTTGAGACTTGAACAGTTAGGGACTTGGAACTGTTTGGAACAGTTAGGTAAAAAGAACTGGTTTGAGTTGAAAATCGAGGTCGAGGTTGAGAATCAGGAATCGCTTTCGCCAGTCTAGCGGACGCGGCCGTTCAGCTGTTATCTGTTTTCGGGATAGAAAAGAGAGACCTACAAAACAAGTGTGACGGTTTGCGCGGCGTCCAACTGGAACTGGTTGTAACTGTTAGTAAAAAATCGCTGTTCTGGCCATGACTATCATATACTAATATACCAAAAGTTTTTTTTATCTGAAAAAATAAAAAAAGTTATAGGGGTGTATATTATTCTATGTATGTGTATATAAGTCATCTTGAGTAAAAAAGAAAGCTCATCATCATTGTTTTCAGTTTTTTGAACCCCTGTTCAAGATAAATTTTAAATGTGATTGGTGAAAGGCCACATACCTGATTTAGTCCTTTGGAGGTAATAAATCCAACCGATGTTCTTTGTACGACCTTTACTTTTGTGATACTGTTCTCGTGCATTTCTTTTACGCCTTTGATTAGCTCATTTTTAATTATTTTGTTTCTCCAAAAATGATAATTGGGAGGTACGTTGTTGCAGGCTTTTTAACTCTCCAAACTTCTGCTTATAAAATTACTGGCTGTCAATTGACCCGAATATGTTACATTCGGTCCCAGCAGCCATTTTTACTATATCATTCGTAGAGTAGTTGTTTGGTTGTTTACAATAATGATTACATATTACGCTCGAATAGATTTCAAAACTGGCGATATTTAGCGAAGAAATGCTTAGCCGGTTGTTTTGTTTATTTTCTTCAATCGCCATGCCGTTATTTCCGTTTTCTACTGGCACACTTCGTGTTCATCGAGGCGCAACGACTACAGGACGGACGCACGCCTCTGGTCATACCCGACTGACCCCTGAGGTCGAGGCGCTGCGCTGCGCCCCTGACATTGTGGCTTGGACGTTGTCGGCTTTGAGGACTATGTTATACATACTTATTGGGAATTTTATTAAAACAATATGCACAAAAATTGAAATGAAATTTATTAGGTTTTAACATAACATTATTTAATATAAAATGTAGTATGCGATATCAGAAAATTATTTGATTTGTTTTTATAGAATTTAGTGTAAATATACAATATCTGTTTATGATTTATAATCATCCACACTTTGGTTAGTGATATACCGGGTTCGTCTCAATAGTAGCTCACCCCTATAACTTAGTATTTATTTTCTCAAATAAAAAAAAACAGATTTGGTCTCTTATTAAATGACCTAAATTAGGACTCAGTGATGTATTCAATTGTTTTTGGTCGCTTCCTGTTTCACCGGAAATTACTACAACCTTTAATTTCTAAATGGCACCCTCGGTATATTTCTACTTTATTCGGTAGAAAATGACACTCTGAATAGAATGAGACATCATATATCAACATTTGACATTATCGCATATGGTTTATTTGAAATTGTAACATGCGGTTCATAATGACAATTTGAATCAAAATACCATATTATGTGCTCGGTTATGTGGTATACCAAATTATTCGAACAAAATGCTTTTTCCAAATGTAGTGCTAATGAGCCACTCTCGTTCCAGTTGAAAAAATTGAGATATATACCAGGACAACACACTAAAAACATAAGACGATCAAATCTATTTTTCCAAGGCTCCTTGGAATTGGGACTCTAGGTTCAAATTTAAAATACAATTTTGTTTTAAGTGAAAATGTCAAAAGTTGATATATGATATGTCATTCTATTCCGAATATCATTTTCTATCGCATAGAGTAAAAAAAATTGAGAATAATTAAAAAAAAATAGTTTTCTTTCTTGTACATTTAAGCTACTCCCTAAGTTGCCATATTATCAAGATATGATATGTATTAACTAAAATTTAAAAAAATCCAAAAATTCAAAAAAAAATCGCGAAAAATAACCTTATAGACGTGTTTCTGGGGTCGTACTAAACTACTAAAAATATTTGCTCTTATTTAAAACTCATCCTGTACAGCTTGGCGAGTATTTTTTTTATATAAAAGTTTTAGCCAAAAAATAAATAATAAAATTAAAATAGTCATATTTTAAGATACATCAGTCAAAAGATGTAATGTAATAAGTAAGATTTTTTTTTCATATTTACCTGTAGAAAAGCAGCTCCCGTGACGGCACCAATGCATTGAGCTACAATGTATAGAAGCATCTTCAACAATTTGATATCCCCAGTGACAAAAAGACTAACGCTGACAGCTGGGTTTATGTGACATCCGCTAACATGACCAATCGCCTAGAACAAACAATAAAAGTATTAAAATAGGCATATTCTTAGTGGGTATAATGAAACACATATTTTCACTAAGCTGGGAATTTTGTATCTGTTTAAACTATAAGGTAAAAAACCATGAAATTATAAAACTTTGATAAAGTATTAGTATGAAATTTTGGCTAACATATCTTTAAGATTGCAGTATTTTGGTTTAAAGACAAGACATTTACCTAATTATTTGAAATTAAGTAATCGCAAAGATCTAATTATTGTGACTTAGCTTTACAAATTAAGTTTTACAAGTTTTGGCCTTAATATACAGGGTGTTTCAAAAAACTTGCGCCATTTATCGTATTCCTCTCGCAAAAATATGATTTATTTTTCCTATTAGCATATGTCCGATTCTGCTTTGTTTCGTAGTTACAGGGGGTTAAAGTATTTATCTTTTTTCGATTTATTATAATTTCCTTCTATACTGTGATTGCTACATATTTAAATGCTAACAAAGTGTCGACACAGGGACATGCATATGGGTTATCACTGGAATATTGTTTAAAAAAAAGCATGTATGCCACTAACTTTTTTCTATTATTAGCGAAATTATGTGAGCAGTTTAATGCCGATTAAAAGTGATCTCTAGATATTTTGTCGATTTCGGGCTCCTTGATAATTGAGATAAATGTAATTTTATTAATTTGCCTTGATCCAAGCTTAATAGCAATCTTTAAAAAAAAATAATATCATTAACTTACTCATTAAGTAAGCCATCTTATCTGATAGTCAAGCAGCGTTAAAGGCGATCAACTCAGTATCAATCAATTCGAAATTGGTCAAAGAATGCATAGAGAAGCTGAATAAATTAGGCAAAGAAAACAAAGTCCTCCTACACTGGGTGCCTGCTCACCAAGGGATAGAAGGCAATGAAAAAGCAAATAATCTAGCTAGGAAAGGAGCGAACACTCCACTAACTGGACCAGAACCGTTCTGCTTTCCAAGTGGTTCTGCTTTCCAAGATTGGCTAAATACTCTATTCTGTATTATCAGATTTTTTTCTAATTTCACTATAGTCGTTTAACCACTATATTAGTCATAGGCATCGGACAGTACCCAAGCAGCCTGAGAACGTTCAGCAATTGGGTAATTACAGTGATAACAATCGATCGGTCTAGAATCCGATCTGAGAAAGGATTAATGTCGACCATAAACGGTCCGCCAAGTGAGAGGGCTTCAGGTTAGCGGCTTGTCTCCGGTGAACGGCATCGTGTTCCGAACAAGATAGATAGTTTAGTACTTTTTTCTCAATGGAACTGACATTGTTCATACATTCTTTTCGAGCTACAAAAGGCAAGTGCATACTTCATACACCAAGTGGACAAAATAGAAAATATTGCCTATGTGAATTCTAAAGGTGCGTCCACATTGTTCGTGATCCTGCTCGCGCTCTTGCTTCTGATTGTGCTTACGTTGTTTGCAATTCCTGTTTGTCGTGGTTCTCAGGATCTTTCGGTACGCAAGTCCACATTGTAATGTAGTGCTTGCGTTCGTGCTGTTCAGACCTTCCAGATGAATGATACCGAAGTATTTTTAATTGCGGCTGCTAGTGCGATCATTAATGCAAAACGAAGGAATCAAAGAGAACAAAAGGCGGTGTTGGATGTCTAATAATTTCAAAAGTAGATCCAAGGACAGTGAAAGTAAATTTCTAAACGATTTACAGACAGACTATTTTTAATAATTTTTATCGCATGTCCGCTACTGATTTTGAAAGACTTATTAACTTAGTTGGCCCCCGTATAGAAAAAAATACAACTTTTAGGAAGTATATTCCGGTTAAAGAAAGAGTTAAAGAAAGATTGGTCATAACATTAAGATTCCTTGCAACTGGAGACTCAAGGTGTATGCCAAAATATAAATAAAAGTTCTTAAAGATCAGATTAAGATTAGTAGGCAATATAAATATAGAGTAATATTTTATTAAAGGTACATTTAATATTATTAATCCAAGAACAAAAAAACAACTATTTCTAATTCTGAATAAAAAAATAAGGAAAATCACGGTAGCATCATCATACTGCAGTAAATACCGAATCTTATGAATGAAACCAAACTAAAAACTAAACAAACAACGCAAACAGCTCGAGCGCTTCGAACCGCCGCGCCGTATAGGTAGGATGTTTTACTTTCCGACACTGCGACATGCGACAACGACGTGCGACACTGCGGTGTGTCGTAAATTTAATCTAGCACTAATCAAATTAGTATGTTGTTTAACCTATCGACTAGCGGCAGCGACATGGCGGCATCGCAGATGTCGCTGCGGCACGTCGCGTCGTCGAGAAAAATAAAATCTTTTCTGAAGGACATCGCAGCTAGTACTTTTGTAGCATCCACCGCATCGGCGTCGGCCTATTTGTAATTTTTGGCGGTTAAATTATTTGTTTTTTTTCTGCCATGTCACAAACATGGGATGAAGACTTCGAGACGAACGTTTAGTAAATTGTGTACGTATATTTTCAGTTCTCTGGGAGATGAAAAGAAACTCATATAAAGATAAGTTGGTTAAAGACAACGCATGGAAAAATATCTCGGAGTATATGTCAGAATGTTTCTGAGAAGGTCCAAGAGCGTGAAATTGTATAGCTAAATTTTCTCCTTCGTCGTCATAAATCAAAAGAACCGCAGCAATATTACGACGAATAGCGTTTATCTTAATAAACTGCACTGCTTCGAACAACTTGCTGAACTGAAGTGTCGCATGGTAAGAAAACATGTGTGTCGCAAACCCGCAGTCCGCGTCGCCACAGTTTATCGCACGTCGTTATAGCATGTCGCAGTGTCGGACAGTAAAACATCCTACCTTAAAGTATGCTCGCATGGCTCCGAAGCGTCTCTTTGATATATCGCGACAGAACCGAACAGTCAGAACAGGCATTTTATGTGATCTCAAGCACTTGGAGCACCGCAAGCGTCGCGAGCGCCGCGAACATCTCGCTCCGACTGTTTGCCACGTTTTTCGTGCTTCACGTGTTTGTTCAGCCTGCTCGCGAGTAATGTGAACGCAGCTTAAAATGTAAAAGATAAACCCAACTTAACCCTCCAGTACTAAAATGCTTTTTTAGTCCAAGAAAATAGTCCTTCAAATACGAAGTTTTAGTAAAATCTTGAATTTTCGATATAAGTTACTTTGAAAGATCGAAAAACGAATTGTGAAATATTTTTTTTAAATTCACCCCCGAGAAGGGGGGAAATAAAGAATTATTCGAATGATAAGGAATTCTCGGAAATTTGAAAAAAAAACACTTTATGAATGTGGTTATGAACGTGAATTTAAAAAATCTTAATTGAAATTTATAAAAATTTTCCAAGCAAATTCAATAAAAATGTTAAATATATGAATAGCCCCCCAGCTTATAATTTTTACTATCGTTCCCTAGCTTCTAGCCACCTGATCTCCGTTAATTTTAATCTGAGGAAAAAAGTATGGGGATCATTTCTATGTAAAATTTGACACTCCACAACTTTTATCTGAACTTTCTTTTCTAGTTCATACCGTTTCTCCCAAATTTGGAAAAAATACTGTGGTTTTAAATTTAAGATTAGGAATAATATTTGCTACAAAATTTGTAATAATATCAAAATCAGTCAAAGTCCTAGAAGAAAAATTCCTTTACTTTGAAACTAAAAGAACTGCCTACCAACTTTTTATTAACATATTTTAGTATGGGCGGCTATACGTGCCTCCCGGCGGCGCCAATTTTTTTAAAAATGGCTGAAACCACTTCTCTATTTATTTATTTAATAACTAACAAATTGCAATACTATGGATTTAGGGGAGTGCCGCTCGAATGGATTAAGTCGTATCTTGGCAACAGAAGGCAGCTTGTGAGGAATGATACGTCTATGTCTTCTTGTAAGCCTATAGAATGTGGTGTCCCTCAGGGTTCAGTACTTGGCCCTATTTTGTTTCTGGTGTTTATCAACGACATTGCAAATCTAGACATTAGCGGTAAAATCTGCCTCTTTGCGGACGATACCAGTTTCACTTGGAGCGGCCCAGATGTTACGGCACTATATTATACTATATCCAGTGACTTACGCACCATTAAATCTTGGTGCGATTCTAATCTCCTATGCCTCAACCTTTCAAAAACTAAAGTTTTGTCATATAAAAGTACTATACAACCTTTTGTACTTAATAACACCACTATTGACGTCGTGGACTCTGTGAGATTCTTAGGACTTGTTGTAGACAACTCGTTAAAATGGGACTTGCACATCGAAGCTTTATCAAAGAAACTAAGTGCTGCCTGTTTTGCGCTAAGATCAGTTTCTAAAGAACTTAACTCATCAACCTCTAGAATGGTCTATTATGCCCTTTTTGAGTTGCATCTTCGTTATGCCCTTCCATTCTGGGGTACTTGCTGCGCGACAAAATTTGATCGTATTTTCAAACTTTAAAAGAGAGCAGTTCGATACTTATTGCGACTAAACAGTAGAACTCACTGCCAGAATTTCTTTAAAAATTTCAAAATACTGACTCTTCCTTCCTTATTTATTTTTGAATCCGTTTGCTTAATCCGCAAGCACATATTCTCTATTCCGGAAAGGCCTTCTCACAACTATCCACTTAGGAATGCGGAGCACGATATTTATCTGCCAACCCCGAGATCAGAACTAGTTAAGGGTTCAATACTGTTCAATGCCAAGAAAATGTACAATCACTTGCCTTCGAATATCAAGTCACTTTCATTCTTTCCCGCATTTCGCAAAGCTCTGAAATCGCCCTAGAGAGCCCTAGATGCGGTAAACGACTTTTTTGTTGATGTTTAATCATGAACAATTTGGAATTTTAAAATTTTGATCATCTCACACACTGGTTAAAGGTCTAGTATTTAATATTTAATATTTTATAACTCTTGATTTTATGATATATAACATGATTTTATCCATTTACAGTTTTCTTTTTGTAAAATTTTCTAGATACGCCTGTGTTCTGCAATGTCCATATATGTTTTATTTGT